TTAAAAGTATCATGTCAAACATGGCAACGGTTGACCCTTCCACAACAGAAGAAGACGATCAGTTACCTATTTGGGAAGATCCATGGATGCATTACATGAATATCCAATACGGTGATCGATTTGAGCAAAGAGAACCTCCTACTGAGGATAAAGTAGTTCAAATTAATATGGGTGATGAAAATAATCCAAAGCCTATATTTATCAGTGGTGATCTTCCACCAGATGAAAAAGAGGAATTAATTGCCCTCGTTAAAGAATATATCGACGTTTTCGCTTGGAACTACGAAGATATGCCGGGACTCGACCCAAATGTAGCAATGCATACCCTTAACATAAAATCGGATGCTAACCCTGTCAAGCAACAACAAAGACGGTTTCGTCCGCAAATTATGGAGTCAATAGAAATCCGAAGCCTATATTTATCAGCGGTGATCTCCCGCCAGACGAAAAAGAGGAATTAATTGCCCTCGTTAAAGAGTATATCGACGTTTTCGCATGGAACTACGAAGATATGCCAGGACTCGACCCAAATGTAGCAATGCATACCCTTAACATAAAATCGGATGCTAAACCTGTCAAGCAACAACAAAGACGGTTTCGTCCGCAAATTATGGAGGCAATAGAAGCTGAAGTTAAGAAGCTAATTGACTCGGGTTTTGTCAGAGAGGAACAACATCCTGAATGGTTGGCCAATATCGTTCCAGTCCTCAAAAAGAACGGAAAAATCAGAATCTGTATTGACTTCAGAGATCTGAATACAGCATGCCCCAAGGATGATTTTCCCCTACCGATTACGGACGTCATTATCGACAACACATGCGGGTTTGAAAGAATGTCGTTCATGGATGGATTTTCTGGGTATAATCAAATCAAGATGCATCCGGATGATGAAAAGCATACAGCTTTCAGAACACCTCTTGGCGTCTTTTGTTATACCGTTATGCCTTTCGGTTTGAAGAACGCCGGTGCTACGTATCAACGGGCGATGACGAAGATCTTTCAAGAACACCTTAGGAAGACAGTCGAATGCTACGTTGATGACCTAGTCGTTAAGAGTCGTGATAAAAACGACCACATTAACGATCTGAAGACAATGTTCGAACTTATGAGAACTCATCAGTTAAAGATGAACCCGACTAAATCCTTCCTTGGAATGTCGAGCGGTAAATTTCTTGGGTTCGTCGTCACCACAAAAGGTATTCATATTGATCCTGATAAGGTGAAGGCGATAAACGAACTGCAGCCTCCAAGAAATCTTAAAGAACTCAGAGGATTGCAAGGTCGATTAGCATATATCCGTCGGTTTATATCGAACTTGTCCGGAAAATGTCAACCGTTTTCCAAACTCGCGAAGAAAGGTGTGTCGTTCATTTGGGATGAAGCATGTCAGAAGGCATTCGAAGATATCAAGAAATATCTAGCGAATCCACCTATTCTCGTTGCACCGAAATCGGGCAAGCCGTTTTTGATTTATGTCAAAGCGACGAGCCATTCGTTAAGTGCCTTACTTGCACAAGACGACGATAACGGTCACGAGCAAGCTGTGTATTATCTGAGTCGTACATTGGTAGGAGCTGAGTCTCGTTATCCGATGATTGAGAAGGAATGCCTCGCTTTGGTATTCGCGATTCAGAAAATGCGACATTATTTAGTCGGACAGACGATTTATGTCATTTCCAACATAAATCCCGTCCGAGTGTTCATGACCCAACCGGCTTCCATGAATTGGCGTTTGGCCAGATGGGCTTTACTCTTATCGCAATATGACTTGTACTTCAAGCAGCAGAAATCTGTTAAAGGACGAGCTATTTGTGATCTTCTGGCAGAAAACCCTACGAAGGATGTAGTCGAATTGTACGACGACTTGCCAGATGAAACTCACGAAGTTAATACCACCTCACATCAACAGGTGTGGCAATTGTACTTCGATGGGGCTTCCCGATCAACTAACGTGGCAAGTACACCCGGATGTTCTAAAATCTCTCTAATAATGTAGCCGAATACAATGCGTTAATAATCGGACTTAATTTCGCCAAAGAGCTGGGGGTCTAATACCTTGAGGCTTTTGGAGATTCTCAACTGGTGGTTAATCAAATACGAGGAGAGTATGAAGTCAGAAATCGAGACCTGATTCCATACCACCAGGTAGCCATTGAGATAGCAAGCTCGTTTGAAGAATTTTTCATCGAGTACGTTCCGCGTCTCCAAAACACATATGCAGACGCGTTGGCAGCATTGTTAGTGTCCTTGGCTCAACCTCCCGAAACAGAGCAATTGAGTACAGTGAGGACTCACCAGCTTATTGTTCCAATCTACGATTCGAACACTAAAGAAGTATACTCAACTGGAGTTGAACCCGAAGTTCGAGATTGGCGCTTTCCCATTATCGACTATGTCTTACATGGTATATTACCTGAAGATGTAAGAGAAAGGGAATCGATTCGGCGAAGAGCACTGAGATTTTATTACAATGCCACATCGCAAACGTTGTATCGACGAGCTTATGATGGTCTTTTACTTCGTTGTCTATCCAGCAAAGAAGCGGAACAAGCACTCAAAGAGGCACATAATGGGATATGTGGTGCACATCAGCCCGGTCCTAAACTCTGTGATCGACTTAGGAGAATCGGGTATTATTGGCCAACTATGGTGAAAGACGCAGTCGACTTCGCACGACAATGTGAAGCATGTCAATTACATGCAAATTATATGCACATTCCGCCTGAGTATTTACACCCATCGGCGACATCATGGCCATTCGAAACTTGGGGAATGGATATAGTAGGTCCTATTTTTCCACCTTCGGTTAAAGGGGACCGTTTCATTCTGGCAATCACCGATTATTTCTCGAAATGGGCAGAAGCAGTTCCACTCCGAGAGGTGAAGACGAGTGATGTTATCAAATTTATTAAACACCACATCATATATCGGTATGGTGTGCCAAGACAAATAGTGCATGATAACGGTCCTCAATTCGTGAGCAACACATTTATCAAATTCTGCGGTAAGTTCGGGATTAAGGACGTTTCGTCGACTGCTTATAATCCTACAGCTAACGGATTGGCCGAAGCTTTTAACAAGACTATCATCAAAATTCTCGCAAAATTGGTGAAAACCAATAAACGAGATTGGGACGACAAACTCGGCGAAGCTCTCTGGGCTTATCGTACAACCGTCCGCACGCCTACCGGAGCCACCCCGTATGCTTTAACATATGGATGTGAAGCCGGCCTTCCATTGGAGATACAGATTCCTTCCCTCCGTATCGCTCTTACAACGGGAATGACGACGGAAGAACATCATCAGAAACGTCTTGAGGAATTAGAGATGTTAGATGAGAAACGCTTGGAAGCTCAACAACAAATCGAGTTTTATCAAGCTAGAATTTCTCGGGCTTTCGATAAAAAGGTCCGACGACGAAGCTTTAAAGAAGGAGATCTAGTTCTCGCCGTTCGAAGACCTATGATTCTCACTTCTAAGAAGAAAGGCAAATTTGAACCTAAATGGGAAGGACCGTTTGTGATAGAAACAGTCTATTCGAACGGTGCATATCGCCTGGTTACCCAAGATGGCAACAAATTGATGATGCCAATAAATGGGAAGTTCCTGAAAAAATATTATCCGTAATATATTCAGGATAACCTGTGTAAAGCGGGAAGTTCCTAGAGAATCCTATATAGGATATTTCAGGATAACCCGAGATCAGTTCACTGTTTTAAATGAGAAGCTGGTCATTTGAATAATTCATTGTTTGATTATCACAAAGTTCTTTTACAACTCTTGTTGAGACGAGATTCAAATTTGTAAACAATTAATCTTTCCTCACAAAATCTCTCATCGATCGAATCGATTGACAAAAAGTACACCAAAATACGTCATGGATTAAAATCATTCAAACTTTCACCTCTCACTTTGGTCAAACCTTTAAACAGTTAGGACCAGAGCTAAAATCCCCTCTCGATTCCTTCAATGAACGAGAGGCCCACAAATTGAACGATCAAACCTTCCTACGGTTAGGATCGTCTCAAAACCTCATTTGGTCAAACCTTTACTACAGTTAGGACCACAACCAAAATCTCCTTTCGATTCATTTTACGAACGAAAGGTCCACTTTTGAATTGAGTAATCAAACCTTATGACAGTTAGGGTTATTCAAACCAACCCATTTTCTCTAAGTGGAGATTCCACTGTGAGTTTCCTTTTCATCAGGAGATAGAATATAAAATTATCCCTCTCCAATTCTGGGTTTATCTCTACCAACAAACAAGAGACCAGGAGATAGAATATAAAATTCTTCTTCTCCAATTCTGGGTTTATCTCTACCAACAAACAAGAGACCAGGAGATAGAATATAAAATTCTTCCTCTCCAATTCTGGGTTTATCTCTACCAACAAACAAGAGACCAGGAGATAGAATATAAAATTCTTCCTCTCCGATTCTGGGTTCATCTCTACCAACAAACAAGAGACCAGGAGATAGAATATAAAATTCTTCCTCTCCGATTCTGGGTTTATCTCTACCAACAAACAAGAGACAAGGAGATAGAATATAAAATTCTTCCTCTCCGATTCAGGGTTTATCTCTACCAACAAACAAGAGATTGAGAAATGGAATATATAATTCTGTTTCTCTCCAATTTCGGGTTCATTTTCCTGTATAGGAAATATAACCTACTCTCATTCCAAAATCCATGTTGTTCACACATGGGGGAAGTTATCTCTATCCCTTATTAGAGATAAGCCTACATCTAACACATGTAGCCTACATATTCAATATGATAGTTCAAAGTCTAAAAGAGTTTAATTCTTTTAGCGCAACGTTATATGTGAAACGGACTTAGATAATTCACATACTAGCCCGATTCAAACGGTAATCGGTAAAGGCATATCAAATCCGTTGATGGCTGAGGATTTGCCAAAAATCCTATAAATATTATGATTATTTACTCTAAACAAGAATGAGTAGTCATAATAAAATCTCAATAAACAAGAAAGTTCACTGTATTAACCAAAAGAGTTCAAATAAAACAGCATAAAAAATAAATGTATGTTCTTAAAATTACAATAATTTATAGTGGCGGAGTTCATCTTCTAATTGGGAAAGCCTTGTCGCATAAGCCAGTTCGAGCTCAGGTATCAGATTGGCTTTAAATTTCCTTTCATCGATGCTGCGGATTTTGGCGGCTTCTTGTTCCTTGTCAGCAAAAATTTTGTCTTGAAGATTCAGTTGCCGTAATGTACTCACTTCAGCTTGAGTTACTTCCGCCAGATCAGACTCTAAAACTTCACAAGCTTCTCTAGCTTCAGCAAGTCTCTTTTCTAATTCGGCTACCACTGCCCGACGCGATTCCAAGTTACGATATAGATCTGCCTTGATTTGTGTCTTCTTGGAGGCGCTTACCCGAAGTTGATTAATACGAGTCTTCAGTATTTGAAGTTCGGATTCAACAGATTTCTGAGAATCACGCCATGCTTGTAGCCTCAGGTCCATTTCGGAAGTGATGTAAGAAGACGCGCCATTAGCTCGGAAATTCTGCAACTGCTTGATGTGTTGTTTAAGATCAACCAAATAAGCTTCAAGAGAGTTAGACAATTCGGCGCACCCCTGTTCTTTAATTCCTGACACATGATGATCGAGAGACTTCTGGAAAAGTTCAAATGGTGAACCTTTAAGGAGAATCCGATCAACCATGGCGTTTAAGAAAAGAATGAAGCTTTGGATGTCAATGCAAAGGGCAATTTTGTCCGGATCTTCATCTGCCAATAAAGCTCGAATGCAATCGGACAATGATGAAGAAAGATCTGCAAAGAGAAATATATATAAAATATACACGTTCGCATACGGCAATGAGTAGAATTATCCCAAATTCAAAGTGTAATTACCTTGACTTGTCGAGGCTGAGACCTGCTCCACGACATCCGAAGTTTGTGTAGAGGTAATGCTGGGCGGTGGATTCATTACATCAAGCTGTTGTTCAATTACAATTTTTGACGACTTCGGGTCTAAGTCGCCAAGATCTTGAGGAGCAAGTTCTGTCAATGAGAAAAGAATGAATAAACACTCCGCAAGTATTAATCTAACTGTGAAGCACAATTAGATAAGACGTACCAAGTTGAGCTAACCTTCAGGTTGATCACATTCACCAATGACGGTAGACGCATCAACTTCGTTGGTTGGTCCTACGTCTAAAATTCTTATTTCAGTCCTTCAAGAACAATAACAGATGAAAGTACAGTTGAAAACTGGAGTCTAAAAGGGTATACCTTTTGATGCACCTACTTCAGCTGAATCAACTCGCGTAGTTGGTCCTGCAGTAGCGGATGGAACCGGAGTCGATAATATATCAGAGATCTCCTGGTGTACATCTTCAGAAATGTCAAGATCGAAGTCTCGCTCATCAAAATCTCCGATACCCATATCATGGGTAAGTTCTATGTCTTTCGGTTCGTTGACAGGAAGGTCTATTAAGCAGAAGAATCCATCAACATATATACAAGACATAAAGTTCTATGTCTTTCGGTTCGTTGACAGGAAGGTCTATTAAGCAGAAGAATCCATCAACATATATGCAAGAAATATGAAAGAATCAAAGCAAACAAAATAAGGTTACCTTCAATAACAATTGCGGGGTCAGCAGCGCTACTATCCGCACTCACCTCCCTTAGTTTAACTAAAAGAAGATAAAGTGCACAAGTTAGTAGGAGAGGAACACGTTCCGATTCACTTATCTTCCGGAAATGCCCCCCAAAGGAGAAAACATCTGTACCTGCGTTGGCAGTTGGTGAGGTCGATGTGGTAGTTGGAGGAGAGGCAATGTCCATGTCGAGGGGTTCTTCATTCATAGCCTTGTGTACTTGTTCAGTGAAACTGGGTTCAGGCACGATTTCCCCTTCCTCTTCTGGCTCAGCTGCAACGGTAAAAGGATAAACATGATGCTATATTCAAAGATAAGATAACGAAAAGGAGATAAAAATAAGATTTTACCCCTTTCATCGACTGGAAAATCCTGAGTGAACTTCTCCTCAAATAACGGAGAAAGTTGGCGTTGCCGATGAAACGTCTTCTTATTCCTCTTCGAGGCACGAGAATCCCGAGGAACCTCAGAGCTCTCATGTCTAAACTTGGTACGCAATTCGGTTCCTTGAACTGGCTGAGGTTGAACCTCAGAAGGAGCAGTAGGCCGAGATCTTTTCCTGCTAAGAAGTGGGGCAACCTCTTCTTCTTCTTCTTCTGTCTCTTCCTCCTGAGCAGGCCATCTCACGGTCATCTTATTGGAGGATGATAGGGGAATGTTCTTTTCCTTCATTCTAATACCCTTTGAAGGAGCACCAGGTGATTTGGGCGAAGAAGCTCGACGAGTTCTGTGAGCCACGGGAGACAGGGGGACATCAGCCTCTGCTTCATCTCTATTCTCATCCTCTTCACTGGATGTTTCAAAGTCGTCACTTTCTTCGGAATCAGCTACCTGTTTTCCTTTGCGAGAAGATGTAACAGGTTCCTTTCCTTTTTTTGATACAATTCTCCGAACCACGGCCTCGGATTCCAGTTCGGAAATCTTCTTCTTCGCAAGAGGAGTGTTGGCGGCTAAAATCCACCGGCAATAAACAAAGGTCATGTGGAGTTCAGGCTCAGCAACAGGCAGACTAAATTGAGCTCCGGTACAGCCGGCAACATTCCAGAACCAGGCTCGTACTCCATCAATGAGGCTCCCGCAGGTTATCAACCATTTGTTGGGATTCCCGATGTATAGTTGATCGTAGCCGAATTGTCGCGCAAAACGGCAAGGAAAATAAGGCTCAATCCTGCAAAGGTTCCTCGACCGGAAGACATTATAGCCTGGGCGAATGTTCATGAGCCAGTGGAAACTACCCATGTCGAGAGAGGTCCTGTCAGCCCCAGGCATCTCCTCGTCAACAAGAGTGTCATTATAGGCACCAGAAAACTGAGGGAAACACTTGTAGAATTCCCAGCATTTGGCATTCTTGAACTGCCTCACCCGGTCAGCCCACGGTCGGGAAGGATATAACCACTTACATCCCTCTAAGAGCTGCAACAAGGGGATGTCTGGATCAGACGCGTCAGGTGCTGACATCATATCCGCTCGATGGAGAACTAGCCACGCCATTAAATATGTGTACGGCAGTTCGACACTCGACAATGGAATTTTAATTGAAGGCTCGGCACCCACTTTGGTAAAAGTGGTAGCTAGGTTACGCAAACCGCTATGGAGGTCAGCAATCATAGCGGAGAGTAAGGATAACCTACCTCCAACGGCTAGTTGCACGGCGGGAAGAAGAACCTCAAGAGGAAGCGCCTCGGAAGACTGATGTGGCACTACACATTTCTTTAGCCATATGGCCAGATAACCAGCAAGAAGAGTCGCATGCTTCATTCTCTTGGTGGCTTGCCACAAGAAGGTGCTGAATTTGGTGCCCTTAAGAAAACCACCTTCAGATGACTCAGTCCTATAAGACTGAGCATTAATCTTCGTAATTAGCCTGTTAACGTCAGAAGGGGTCAGAATCGGTGATTCACAGACAGCTTCACCGGTCGGGCTCTCGAGATTCTGAAACAAATAGTGAGCGAACTGTTTTAAACTAACTCGAGCTGCCTTCTTACTCTTTACTTCAATCTGGGCTATCGCTATCTGATAGTGACAAGTTAATTCCCAGAGTATGTCATAAGCAGGATTTACTTCAATCTGGGCTATCGCTATCTGATAGTGACAAGTTAATTCCCAGAGTATGTCATAAGCAGGAAAGCCAACATTCTTCATCTTCATGAGCTGACGATTGTTGGGAAAATATTCTTGATAAGGAGTGTTCCCCAATGGCAGTCCAGATACTCGCATCATTTCGTGGAGCGGAAGCCCTAACTCCCCATACTTGGTAAGAAATGTATTGGCCTCCGAAATATAAGACTCAAATAAAGCAAGGAAATGATCTACGCTGACTGGAAGACCATGCATGCTGGCTCGGATCGGAGCATATAACCCCAAATTCCTTAACTCTTGATCCCAACGATTGAGTACATACTTGGTCATCCTAGCCCACCATTTGTCGGGAAGAGAATGAACCCATCCATAACATCTAAATTTTGGAATGGGGAGTTCTCGGCCAACCCGAGCGAGCCTATTCTTTACAGTATTGGCCCTTATCATCAGTTCGTTCTGGGGTCCGCTATCTGGTCCAAATATCCCTGGGTGAAGGCCACAGACATTATGCCTGCCGGTGGAGCCAGGAGCGCTGACATCATTGCCAATAAATCCACAATGGATATGCTCGTGATCTTCTGTTAGATGCCACGCCATTTTTCTCGAAACAGCCAAATTCCTTAATTGCAGAATCGAATATTGATGAGGGAATGGAGGAAGAAATAGAAAAGCACCTTCATGCTCATTCAACCAAAGTTCAGAGCCACGGCAGAGATTGTCTGGATCTTCTATCGAATCTCCGAACAGATAGTCAGGCTTCTTCAACAGTTCGGTAGAATCTCTATTTGGAGTTAAGGGTGAGTCGGTCAGCAAAGCGCGCAGAGTACGACGACCTCCCTCACGAATCAACTCTGGAATACTATTATCACAGTCTTCACTAAACTGGTGAGCCTCTCTAACCAAAAAGTCACCGCGAAAGGAGGCGTGAAGAGTACCACTCTGGCCTGGGTCCTCTCTATCAGAGAAGGCCACAGAGGGAAAGGGGACTACAAAGAAAAATTGGAAAACAGTTGAACAAAGAGGCTAAACAGAACAAAATCTCGCTCTAAGTGACCGCGGCACCATTTACTGTCGTTAGTTACCACGGCAGGGTATGTTGCCGCGTTCAGCCGCGGCAGCACGTACTGCCGTGGTAACTAAACAGCGCCCCCTTGATTTCGACAAAACACGAGTTCGACAAAAACTCGCATCTTGACTGTGGTATATGTCTTGATTGAACAAGATATATGTTTTTAAAGCGTCAATCCTCTCGATGGAGGATGTCAACTCTTCCCGAATACCTCTCAAAGGAGGCAAACAAGGTTATATATGCAAAAACAGCAGTTTTGAAGGGGGGGAAGTGTTAAAAACTCACCTCCAAATGAAGCGCCAAAGGATGGAACTGCAGCCTCGACATCCTCAGGTGCTGGTGCCGCTGATTTTCCCTTCGAACCACGAGTCTTCTTTGGAGACATAGTGAGACCGGCCTAAAGAATCAAAAAACTAGGGTTTTTGTGAGATCCCAAACAAAAGAGCGGAATCGGTCCATAAAGCATAAGATGCAGGGGCGATTTTTACCTGGGATTAGAAGAAATCAAGTTAAGAAGAGATCAACAAAACAACCATGAAATATAAGGGATAGGCTCGGTTTTACCAGGGGATAGAAAGGATCGAACTTGAAAGACAAGACAACTGGAGGAGAAGCTCGAAATCAAGAAAATCACCCGAAACCCTAGATTTGGTTCGAAGAAGAAATCGGCCAAATATGAAAAGATGGAGAGGGGAAAAGCCAAAGAAACCTTTTATAGGGTATTTGAGGGGATTTCGAACTCAAAGCCGAAGAAGCCCAACATCAGTCTTATAACCCGACTGGCTGAGGCGCTGCGCGGCACAAGATGCTGTCGCACTCGAGCGCGACAGTCTATGCTGCCGCGCTCAAGCGCGACAGTATAAGCTGTCGCGGTAGCTAACCCACCAAGATCCACTTCGACATACAGAAACATAGTGCATACATGATAATTCTTCGGTGTTTGAACACATACATCTCCCTCTGTATTTGGAATACATTCCCGGACACTCCGATGAGTATATGAGTATAAACTGCATCTCCTTGAACCTCCCAACGGGTATATGAGGTTAAACTATTCCCTGAACAGTCCGATGAGTATATGAGTATAAACTGCATCTCCTTGAACCTCCCAATAGGTATATGAGGTTAAACTATTTCCCGAACACTCCAATAGAGCATATGAGTATAAACTATTTCTCCATTTTTCAACAACAGTTCTGATTCAAGACTT